TTCTGATGCCTCAAAAATCTAAAAAAAAAAAAAAAAAAAAACAAAAGAAGAAAGCGTGCTCAGTTTGTAAAAAAGGATCCTGTGACGCAGCGTTGACATTTAGGATGCAATTTGCTCGGGCTGTCTCTGCCTTTGGAGTCTGTGCACGCGCACAGAGATGCCAGGGCACGAGCACGCCAATTGCCAAGTGCGGCACTCTTGGAGAAACGGTAGAAAATGATGAGGAAAATGAAGACAACTTTCTGTTCAGAATCTTTACTTTTACTTTTTTTTTGTCCTTTGTACACTTTTCACATTCAGTAAAAAACCTGATCCATAAAACTTACCTACTGCTGCTGCTGCTGCTGCTGCTGCTGCTGCTGCTGCTGCTGCTGCTGCTTGCTCCTCAGACCTGCAGGGATCAGGGCGTTTTGTTGCGCTCCAAACTTTCCTGTCGCAGCCCATGGCAGACAGAAGCAGTCCCCATGTCCAGGCTACTCCCCCCGTCTTTGAACCCTGCTCTTAAACTGCTCGTTGCTCAACACCAGTGGTCAGGCTGGCTCACGTAGACACACTGAGAGCCGCAGGAATCCTGTCCCCCCCACCTGTGCTGCATGGGCTTATCAACCGACAAGAAGCACGTTCTGAGCTGCTCTCTTCATCCCAGAAYATGAGTCACGGCGGGTTATCCAAAGGTCGCCAGGTTAAAGGAAAAATATCGTATAGCAATCAAAGTTTGTTAATTGTTCTTACATGAGAGGCATAGGTCAGTGAGCACAAAAGGAAATAAAAAAAATAAACAGAACAGAAAAAACGACACAATGAGCAAAATTGGGCCTCTTATAATATTTAACTAAAACAATGTGATTATTGTCAGACTGCTGCACTGAAAACAATAACAGGTGCAAAGGTGTATTCCCCCACTAATCATTATTATTATTCTTTTTTTTTAGGTTTTGAAATCTCAAAAGGCCAATTTGTTTTAATCTGGTCTGCAAAGGGAGAGTTGTATTAAATCTGATCTCACAAGACAGTAATTCAAACGCTCCGGATTCTTTCTGTCTCCTTGTGTTGAGAAAATGACATGCATGCTTAAAGGAATTGCGACCATTAGGCGTGTTCTCCAAAAAGGGGGGRAAAAGGGAAAGAAAGAAAAAGCAAGACATTTAATTTGAGGAAAAACAAAACCTTTAATTATTAGTTTTACACATTTTTTCCCTAACATGTCAGACTCCTTTTAAGAGAAGCGTAACAGACATAAATCATGTGTGTATTGAGCACCGCATTGGCTCCTCCTGTTTTAGACTTGGTTGCAGCTCAAGAAGCTGTTTGCACTTCGAACCACAGAGGGACAGTTAATGGAAACTGTTTTTAAATCGTTATAATAAAAAAGCTTCAATTTACACACCCACTCAAGATTTTTTTTTGAAATAGAAAAGGGCGTGCATTGATTAAAACTGAACAC